CGGGACGGTGCCCGGGGCCGGGGTTTTGAGGAGAGGGCGGAGAGATCCCTAACTTTTCTTGGACTCACCCCCAAACTGTGGACAGCGTGAGCAGCGAAGTGGTCCAAGCGAGTGGCTTGCGAGCTGCGCTTCTCTTGCAAACTTCTCGGGAATACGGCGTCCGCGACCTGGTCCCTCCCCTTTCAGAAATGAAACTTGCTTACCCTGTCGACTAAAAGCCATGACAGTCAGTTGACTCGGCTAGCGGTGCCGCGGGTGGCGCAGAGGCGCCGCTGCCCCGGGCCGTGTCGCAGTACGGATCGCGACGGTGGGAGGGGAGTCGGAGGCGGGCGACGAGCCTGCCCGGGACCTGTGGGTAGGCTGTGCACCTAAACCCGGAGCGCCGGCGGGCGACAAAGCAGAAGTGCGCTTCCTTGAGGCAAGGGGGGACTTCGGGGGAAAACGCCTGGCCGGTTTCTCCGGAGAACACGAGTTGACCCATCCTCACTAGAACCGACAGTTAGGGCTGGACCCCGCGGAAGGGGTCAGCTCAGTCCCCTTCCTGGGACCTACTGCCTTTTTAACTTCCTTTTTACTTAGTTATTTATTTTTTTTAATGGAGTTACAACATGCAAACAATTGAGTGCTTCAAGTGCACCTATTACTATGAAGACTAATTCTTTGTATTGTGACAGTTGGTTTTCAGAGTATTTGATAGGTGGGGTAGGATCTCTGACCTCCCCCGGAAATGAAGTTAAGATCCATCAATCCTCCTGAAGTAGACTCCTGGCGGCCCAGCTGCTCTCCGGGGTGGGGATGAGAGTGGCCATTGTTGGCTACACTAACCTTTCAACGTTGTGTGACTTGGCCAGGAAGCAAGATGAGGGCGGTAGAAGCACTTACTTACCAGGAATTGTGCCGAGTCTTAAATCCCCAGAGGTATTACTGAGGGGGTGAGACCTGCACACTCGACCATGCAGTTGAAGAGTGGGGTGGGGACTGGAGAATGCTGACTTTTCTCTTGGCTTTCAGGGAGGCCGTTTGAGCTGGACCAGCATCTGTCCTTTGCCATTGCTGGTGAAGATGGAAAACTTAATATCTCTGGAGTCAAGCTTTTACTTGAGATAACTGAAACCTTATGTCTTAAGGTATACCCATATCTTTAGCGCACCCTTATTCTCAATAAGGAGTTTTTAGAAAGGTTTGGATATGTTGTATGTAAATGTCCAGATAGTGGTGGGGAAAGTCCCAAAACATCCAAAAGCTATTTTTTCTCTGCCAGGATTCTAAATTGTTACCCAAAACAAAGGTCCCTGATTTCATAGAGAACGTCAGTGTGTCAGTGTGTGTTCTTATAGCTAATACCAACACACTTTATGTTGCGTTTCTTCTGCAACAGCTACCTTGTATCCATGGCTTCAGCTGGGTAACTCCGAAGGGAAGGATTTGGCTCTGAGCCCGTTTGTCAGAGTGGGTGCGATTTAGATTTAGCCAAGTTCCGGTGTCTCCCCCTGTTTATTTTCTCTGCTCTACTGCCAGTGCAAACAAGGAGCTCACCCAGACCCCATCCCGAGTCGCAGAAGCTCACCCCACATCTTCCGATAGCGCCCCACTTAGCCTACATCCCCAGTGTCCAAGGCCGGTGCAGACTGTGCCCCAGAGAACAGAAGTCCTCGTACTGGTGGCTGTCCAAGGACCTGCCTGGCAATAAAGAGAACTTCGCGTGGACTGCGGCGGCCTTGTTCTCAGTGCCGTAACCAGACACGTTGGATACAAATTTAGAAAATGACATGATTATTTTTTTTTTTAACTGCCCGAGTAGGTAGCACCTTGTCTTCATCTTTGATGTGCTGTGTCGTCACTAAAAAATGACAATCCAAGAGCCCTGAATGGATGTGGTAAACCATTTTTGTGGTACCGAGATAAGTCGTGGAAGCCAAGACTAGTTTTGCAAGTTAAGTTAAACTCGTGTTGTCTCTGGATTTCTTGGACTCTGGCCTTTATCTGTTGTTTTGTAGAGGTGCGTGTGGGGGGGGGGGCGCGGCGCAGGGCGGGGTTAAGGGGAAGCAATACAGCGCCTTAGGTGTTATTTGAGATAAAACATTACTCTGGCTAGATAAGCTTCATTGCTTTTTTTGTGTTGTCACTGAGGTTAACAAGGCAATATACAGGAGTGTGTCTGCTGTCTCAGTGTTTTGACTGTAGGACGTTAAATTGGCATAAGTTGTGTTTCAGTGGAGCAGACACCTCTGCGTTTCAAGAAACGTTCACGTGTTTAAAACCACCGGAGCCCGGCAGAGATGCTGGTCTCTTGTGATGCTTCCAGGATTCCTGGTCTCGGGCTTTTTTTTTTTTTTTTTTTTTTTTTTTTTTTTTTATCTTTTCAGTACATGCATTATAAGGAAGCTTATATTTGCAGTTTAAATGGTTTAGAGGAAGGATCTTTGTGTAACCCAACTGTGTAAAAAGAGCTTTATGAATTGTTTAGAATTAATAGGTTTTATACAGCTGGCCCCTATAGCTTGCTCTAGAACCGACTACAGAGCTTCTTGAAACGAGAGAAGAAAACTAATGTAAACAAATAATTGTTGGTGTTTAGCAGCAATCGTGTAGGATGTGTTTAGTCTCGGAGCCTCCTGGGGTCTTGGTCACTAAACCGCTTAAACTGTTTCCTTCCTAGATAGCAGTGACTGAGTCAGTAAGGAGTTAAGTGCTTCCTAGGCCTCGGTCTGTGCCAGGTGCTGAGGAGGCCAAGGGAATGGTATGTGAAAAGGCCTGAGGAGCTGCTCTGGCTGCCGGCGGAGCCAGGTCCGCTTCACAGTGTCCTCCAGGCACTCAGTTTTCTCTCGTTTGTCCTGGCCGCCTGCTCGTGAGCCCCGGGAAGGTGGGTCTGTGCTTACTGCTGAGCACCGAGAGCAGGGCCTGCCACGTGGGAGGTACTCCTGGGAATTGGACACAGCACCCCGCTGGCATTCGACTGTCATCGTCTCAAAGACGGAGGCCTTCTTTAAGTAGGTGTCATCCCGGTGGGCCAGGGTGCGGGAACATTTCACATCAAAATCTCCTAGCCCGAAGTACAGGGTGGTTTCTGGGCCTTTCTCTAAGTGGGGGCCTCAGGGCTGTAGGTTTGGAGCTGAGGGGCAGTGATGACTAATTGGTCAACAGCTGAAACCCCTGAAGCTGTTGACCGGCTCCCTTCAAGCACTTCCGGTCCAGCCGGTGCTGCCCACCGGCCCCAGCCCCAGCCCCCCACACAGGCTCGCGCAGCCTTTCTCTCCGCACACCCACTCGGTTGCCAGTTCTGCTGATTCTCAGTCTTTTCAGTTTTTTGTTTTCCACTGCCATCACTGACCTGGTTTAGCGCCCTGCAGACAGCAGCTGGGTGAGAGCGTAGCCGGCTCCTCCCCTGCCTGGAACACACCACCCTAACTTAAGGGAGCTGCCTGGCCCTCCAGAAGCCGAGGGAGCGTCTTGTCAGGACCTGTGCCTTCTGACTTTCTGTTTATTCTTGACCTCCTGCGAAGGAGTCTTCCCGAGGCCCTACCTTGCCTCAAGGGACAGGTTCTCAGATGTTTGAACTCCTTCCTCACCACCCTTTAATTCGTCTCTGGACCCCTCTCAGAGGCTTTTGTCTCACCTCCCCTGAGGGTCTCCTTAGCCCATGCCTCCCCTCTCCAGCGCTTCTTTACAATTCTGCCTTGTGCCTATTTTCTAGTTCTTTCAAATTTTATCTTCGATTGGATGAGCACAGAAAGTCCCATATCTGTCTCCACGTTAGCTCTGTGTGAACAGCTTTCGAGAAGAAAATTTTCCATGAGTCTTGAACTGTCCCACTCCCTCGGGTCACCATAAGCTGCTCTGACAGTGCTTAGCCCTTAGGCTGGTGGGAGAGGGGGCGGTCCTCCACCTCTCCTGGCTGGCTGCCCCTGACCCCAGAACACATCCTGTTTGTCTGTCCCTGACCTGTGCTCGCCATAGTGAAGAGGTGCCGTTAGAACCACCGTAGCCAGCTGATCTGCACTGCGTCAGCCACTCTGCCATTCACGGAGAGTGGCCGTGAGAAGTGAGTGGGAAGGGCACTGATCCTGAGGCAGAGATGAGGGGGACACTGACAGCACCTGCCGCATGTCCAGGTGCTGGTCTGGGGCTGTGCGGCTACCGCCTCCCGTGCCCAGGCCCTTCGCGGTCTGTTCCCGCCTCCTCCCTGCTGTGAGGACACCTGGGGTCTGGTCCTGCCAGCACCTTTGCCTCTTGAGGTTTCGGTTTCTTCATGGTAATAAGGACAGTAGACCAGCGCTGTCCGATAAAAATATGAGAGCCACAGTGAAGTTCCTGGTAGTCATCGTAGAAAGTAAAAATAAGCAGGTGAAAATAATTTTAATAGTTTTATTTAATCCATCCTATCAAATAGCATTTCAATTTGTAATCAATATAAAAATAGGAATGAGATACTTCCCTTTCGTTCTTGCACCGAGGACTCGAAGTCCAGTGTGTATTTTACGTTCACAGGGCATCTCAGTTTGGACTTGTCCCATTTCCAGTGCTCAGCAGCCCCGCGAGGCTCGTGGCTGCAGGAGGGCGGCGCAGGTCTCGACCGTCTCTAAAGGCGTTCGACTCTCGAAAAATTCTGATTGTACGTGTGTGTGAGGCAAGGGCTAGCAACACAAGTTATGGAAGTGTGAGCTAGGACGTGCCCTCGACGAGGGCAGAGGCCCTTGTCTCTTGATTTCTGATGGATCGTAAGCCCCTGTAAGGGCCCTGGGAACATAGTAGGCACTCAGCTAAGTGAGAGAGCGACAGGGAATTCTGCCATCGGGGCTGACTTACTGATAGTCCTTC